GTAACACTTCTCGAACAGCAGTTATATAAGTTGCCAAACAATTTTGCAACTTGTCCCCATATAGGTAGGACATCCAGGGGGTCTAGCTGGCTGTCCTTTCCCTCATAAATTGTGAAGTTCTAGGTATATCCCGTGGCCCTGTCGCATACCTTGTCGAATTTTACTCCATATTTGGCACATTTAACAGGGATGTTCTGTTTAATGCCAAGCCTTCTTGTGAAGTGGACGAAGGATTCATCCACACAAATATTTTTGTCGGCAGTAAACATTTCCTTGAATTTACTGCAAAAAAAGTTGATTAGTGGCCAAATTTTGAACAGTTTGTTGTAATCAGGATTGAGGAGGGCACTGGGTATTATTACTGAAATGTAAGAACCTCATTATTATCTCATATCGTGTTCTGGGCATACAAGAAGAATAGACTGGCATGTGATGTATAGGTTGGGTAGACCAGTAGGTGTTTTTTTTTTGTCAGTCCCATATTCAATGCAAGTCCAAGAAAAATGTTAAATTCTTCCATGGTGAGGGGTTTCCACCCAAATGGGCGAGCCTATGTCGAATTAGGATTTTTGCCAATATATTGTCTGTCATACAGATTACACTGCTGAAATTTAGCAGATCATCAGTAAATAATGAAATTGGGGTAACAATTTCTGTTTGCATCTGAGGGCCTGGCTGTGCTGTAAAAAGGAGAATTGTCTGCCGAATTAGCGGGCAGCCATGTGGAATATAAAAGTAAGTGTGAGAAGCTAGTATGGGTCCTACCTCATTGTGGATGGGACACACGGTTACTAGTGCCTGACATATCTTGGAATGTTGCGCTGCTTGTACTCGCCACTGCACCAGGATTTACATTGCTAATGGTGGGTGCCTGCTCCTCCTCAGATCTCCTGGACCTCTTTGTTTGGACTCTCTCTCCTCCTCAGAATCTGTTTCTGACCCACTGCTGTCAGCTGGCTCATACTCAGAATCTCAGTCTGAGAGAGCGAGTTCCCTACTACTCTTGTCCATCATACTCCGTGTCTGGAAAGCCTCCTCGCTGCTATATAATGTTTCTAGACATATTGATGCTGCACTGCTGATATTGATCACTGGTGTACAGTGACAGATGTACATTTGACACTGGTGTGCACTGACAGATGTACATTTGACACTGGTGTACACTGACAGATGTACATTTGACACTTGCTGCGTGATCAGTGTGTGGAAATGTATTAAAACTCACTGATTCCAGCTAGCACAACACAGATCGGCCGTCACTCTTCCCCCTCACTGGTGGGCTCTGTGTGAGGAGAAGCAGAGCCAATCTAGTAACAGGCGTCAGTGTTTACCATACATGATGGCTGTGACTGAACACAGCCATCATGTGATCAGAAGAGCCAGTCACAGAGCTCATCTGCTGATATGATGATCCAGGGGACAGAGGTACACCGGGAGTGTGCAGCTGTGTGGCAGTGTTCTGAGGGATGTATGACCAGCTTTCACCTGGCTGTTTAAGTGCAGTGGCAGGGTGGGAAGTGGTTAAAGTGTCTGGGTACACTGTAATTATAGTCATTAACCCCTTTTTTTGATAGTTGTCCTATGTTCCACAAATCTTACTCTCAGGGTCCTAATTGTTCTGCCAATATATAGCAGCCCGCAAGGGTACCTGAGAGCATAAATAACACATTTGGTGGAACATTTAAAAAAGTGTGATATGGGGTAGTTTTTCCCATGGGCCTCAAAAGACTTAAAGCCATTTGGGATGAAGGAGCAGATTAGACACTTCTTTTAGTGGCATCAAAACATGTCTATTAGATCAGTGAAGAAGATGCCTAGTACAGGGTGGATGGTCTCAGATTCCTTGAGTTTACTGGGGGCTATCTGTCCTTTGATGTTACAAGCCCTGTGATAAATAAATCATAGTTTGGAGGGTAATGTATGCCCCAATATGGGATCCTGTAATAAAATACCCCAGTGTTAACTAATGATTTTTTCCATGCATTTATATTGGTAATGAAATTGTCAGGGGACTTGGGCATGCTCTGTGGGGGATTTTTATAGATGGTAAATGCGTCCTCAGTGTATTTTTCAGGGTAGCCTTTTCTGTTTATTGATGAGCCTGTGTGCACATTTTAACCCTTACTGTACTGATTTTAATAATACACTCAGATGGTTGCTCCTTCTGCTCTTATTATTGTTTTTCAGTACACAGACAGTATCCACTACTCTGCTAGAGACATGGAAAGAATGCACCTCTAAGTGTAGTCCACTTACAGGAAGTCAAAACATGACAGGCTCATCATAGTAAATCGACTTTTGTTCCTGATGGTATAAGTTTAAGGGCCGTCCGGACGCCCAGCAGCAGCAGCAGCGTGACCTGTGGAACGCAGGGATGTCGGAACTAAGATGGCTGTAGAACCTCGGGAGGAGTTGTGGAATGCATATGTCGGAGGTGATGTAAGGTGGGCACGGTAACGCTTTCAGGGCTCCTTCATTAGACCTAAGCCCTGAAGACTCTCCGGCAGTTTTATATCAGCAAAGGGGGTGGGAGAATGGGAGGGATGGGGTGGGTGGACAAGCAGGTTTCTCCTCGGTCCTAAAAAACCTATTACTTTTAACGCTATAAAACACTTGGTTATTAAAAAACAATTGTATAAAAAAATTAAAATGAGTATACAAAGAAAAAATTATTATACACACTTGTAAGCTTAACCCAATGAGATGGAGATATCACATTAACCAACTGAAAAAAATCATGTATGTATATAGAGAGATAGCATACATTAGATCAGACAATAGAAAATGTAATTATATAGAAGATATCAAAGAGAATGAAATGGGAAGCTATTAAAAAGTAGATACAATGTCACAACATATTATTGTATTACTGAGTCAGCTTAAAAACACTCTATATAAGTGTGCTATGGTTGTCCATAGGTATACTATCTAGTTTATCCCACGATTATATTCTGAAAGGGATCCTTGTTTAAATGGAGAAAGGAAGAAGAGATATGCCTGGAATTATTAAAGGAAACATCATTAGCATAAAGTGCGAACGGAAAGTCTTCCTTAACCTCCTTAGCGGTAATCCCGAGTGTAGCTCGGGGTAAAATTTCTATACCAAGAGCGGTAACCCCGAGCTACACTCGGGCTTACCATGCGGCGTTGCTCAGGGGGTCCCTGCAGCACTTACCTTGTCCTTCGCTCCCGCGATGTGTCCCCTGCAGCGTCCCCGGCCATCTCCTCCGGTCAATGCCGGCATCCGGCTTCTGTGTTCCGGTCCCTGTGACGTCGGGACGCGCGGGCGCCGGAACCGGCGGGAAATTTTAAATTTTTAAAAAATGTCATTTTTGCTGTCATTGCTGTTTCAATGCATTTCACATATATTTTGTCCCTACTGCTTGGTCCTGTCCCCTGCCTGCATTTTGAATGTTCTTTCTGCCTGGAAACTTAGAAAAGTCCATGGCGTCCAAAAAGCGTCCCTTTATGTCAAAAGAGGTTTTAGAACAGCGATAGTAAATCAGAACCACTTGCAGAATTGAGTGATAATGATTCGTGGGGAAATTCGTCATCAGACACGATTTTGCGACTTTGCTCAGCGATGTGCGAATTTGCCTCTGTATTTCAAATTTCAGTGTTTTTGGTTTGATTATATTATTGAATTAAATTTATTATTATTATATTATTATTTATTATGATTATTTATTATATTATAATTTATGATTGCGTGTTTCAAATTTTATCATATCCGGAATGTTTAATAGACTCTTGTTCGTACAGATTTCAGTGTTATTCCTAAAAATTACAGCCTACAATAAAAAACTACATATTTCCATGCAAAAAAATGGTACCGCTTTCAGCACAAAAAATCTGAAAGAATCATACCGCTAGGGAGGTTAATAATATATACATATTTAAATAAATGGCTGCATAGATGAAGGGCAGAGCTTCATGCACTAGGTTTCCATCGCCGAGCAGCTGAATCTAAGCCTTATATCACCAAGTGGGATGCAGTGGTGTAAAGCGCACCATCACTGGACTCTAGAGCAGTGGAGACATGTTCTCTGGAGTGACGAATCATGCTTCTCTGCCTGGCAATCTGATGGACATGTCTGGGTTTGGCGGTTGCCAGGAAAATGGTACTTGCCTGAATGCCAAGTGTAACATTTGGTGGAGGGGAGATTGTGGTGTGGTGTTATTTCTCAGGGGTTGGGCTTGGCCCCTTCGTTCCAGTGAAGGGACCTCTTAAGGTTTCAGCATACCAAGACATTTTGAACAATTTCATGCTCCCAACTTTGTGGGAAAGGTTTGGGGACGGCCCATTCCTGTTCCAACATGACTGTGCACTAGTGCACAAAGCAAGATCCATAAAGTTATAGATGAGCGAGTTTGGGTGGAGGAACTTGCCTGCACCTCATCCCGATAGAACATCTTTGGCATGAATTAGAGTGGAGGCCTTCTTGTCCAACATCAGTGCCTGATCTCACAAATGCGCTTCTAGAAGAATGGTCAAACATTCCCATAAACACACTCCTAAACCTTGTGGACAGCCTTCCCAAAAGAGTTGAGGCTGTTATAGCTGCGAAGGGTGAGCCAACTCAAAAATACGGACTAAGACTGGGATGCCATTAAAGTTCATGTGCATGTAAAGGCAGGTGTCCCAATACTTTTTGGCAATATAGTGTATCTGCGAACCAGGGCCAAGTCTTTCCTTGGCCAACACATAAGGTGGTCCTAGTTTGGGTTCCTGTATTTGCCCAGCAAATGTTGTATTGTCATGCTTAAGAATGGAGCATTTAATGAAAATATAGGACCATTATAATCACCAAACTTGTATATTTGTGTAATAGATGTTCTTACCCTCCCTATGTCTCTCTGCCGCAGCCAGTGATGAAAAGCTGCAATATTCTGTGGAAGTATATATAAGGAAAATAAAGTATAGATTTCTTGTTGCATTGTATGATATATAAATTGCTTCCTGTATAATCTAAACAATTTGTTTTAATCTCTTAATCTAGTTGGTCCCAGGTGAAACTGCATTAGCATTTTATAAAGCAAGAAACTCCACAGATAAGCCAGTCATTGGAATTTCCACATACAATGTCATCCCCTATGAAGCTGGACAATATTTTAACAAAATTCAGGTAAGACAAACAACCAGTGAACCACTAAATATGGACCCTGGCTGGAAAAACCTTTCGGCTTCATTCTCCCAAAGTGACTGGTCAAGTGACAAGTGTGGCTTGGAAGCACTGTCCAGAGGCAGAAACTGAATACTTTATACTGCATAACTTCCAAATTTCTAGTCTAAGTTTTGTTATGCAGGAAATTGCAGCAGGCTAATCTAAAGATATATCGATGGCATATTGATGTAAATGTTAATAAAGACTACATAACAGGACTAAAGGATGTTCCTTTATGTTTTTTGGGTTCTACCTTTAATTAGTGCAATACTGTAGATCTGAAGTTAACCTTGTGTTGAATTTTTTTCTAGTGCTTCTGCTTTGAAGAGCAGAGATTAAACCCCCATGAAGAAGTGGACATGCCTGTTTTCTTCTACATTGACCCAGAGTTTGCCGAAGACCCCAGGATGGGAGGAGTGGAAAATATTACATTATCATATACATTTTTTGAAGCCAAAGAGGGACACAAACTGCCAGTTCCAGGATATAACTGATACCTTACTAGATTTACTGGCTGCTGCTGCTTTCCAAGGACTTATCTATGTTTATCTTTAATCAGTGAGATTTAAGTATTTAAAGATTCTAGATTTTTGTATGTAAATAAATTCTACAAAAAAACAGGTGGGTCATTTCTTCAGAGATCATTGTCACTCAGATCAGACCAGACAAATCTGATATTAAGAAAGGGATATAAACCAGTGTTTCTCAACCTTTTTCCAATCAAGGCACCCTTTCAAATTATACAAAATTTCAAGGCACCCTGTCATGGTGTGCCCCGTGCCCCTACCCCCCCCCCCCCATGCCTGCTGTCCCTCTGCCTGTCCCTTCACCCCTCCCTCCCCCCTTGCAGATTGCTCACATCCTATCACAGCCTACTTCAAAGGCTGTGCAGGATGGGAGGAAACGGCCCCTGCGGCAATATCGCTGGAGAGTCGCGACCCCCCCCTGCTGGAGACAAAGGCCACGCTCACGAGAGCACGGCCCGAGTCGGGGGCGTGCCTCGTTGCTCCGGCGGCGCTAGGCCGGAAGTTGCCAGATTATAAGATTATAATTATAACTGTTTGGACTCCCCCCTTTTTTTGGGTACCCGGACGCTACCTTCCTACCCTGATTGAGTGCCTTCCACAGTTCAATGAAGCTTTGTGTGTTTATCATCCTCTGTGTGCGTTCTGTCCTGCCTATGCTTCCGTCACACATCTTAAAAAAAACCCAAAACTAATAGTTTCAAATGTATAAACCTACTACAGGACAGTTTTATGGTACAGTTTAAAGAGGCAGGGGCATATTTGCTGTGAGGCAAACAAGGCGTTTGCCTAGGGCGGCACTTTTCAGAATGTGCATTTCCGTGGGAAAGGGACAGGGGCTGCTGTCTTACCTGTCTCTGCGACTCCGTGTCCCACTTCGATCCAGTCTACGAGGCGCTTTGGGCAGGATGACAGGCCGCCCCTCTCATCTGGTCACACTCCTGGGATCACTGGGCAGCTTATGACAGCCTGTCCCGCCCTCTGCAAGCTCTGCCTCCTTGCTGGTGATTGGCCGCCAAGTCTGTAGCTCAGGAAAGGCACACAGGTGGCCAATCACCGGCAAGGAGGCAGAGCTTGGAGAGGAGGAGCCGAGCGGCAGCGCGAAGATCGAGTTAGGGAGCAGCCGGAGCCAGTGAAGAGGAGGAGAATGGCCTGAGAAGGAAGACAGCTGATGGGTAAGTGTGTGTGCGGCCGGGATCTGGGCAGAGCAGATGGTGCTGCTGCAGCCAGGTATGCTGCCTGTGGATGGGAGAGGGAGAGAGAGCTCGGGCTGGAGCAGGGGTCAGCACAGCAATATAAGTATCTTTGTTGTCAGTGGGAGTAATAGTGCCCCATCATTCACTGACACCAATGATGGGGCACTATTCCTCCCACACTGACACTAATGATGCGGCACCATCATTGGTGTCAGTGGGAGGAATAGTGCCCCATCATCGTTGTTGTGCCCCATCGTTGTTGTCCATGGAGAATAGTGCCCCACCATTGTCAGTGGGAGGAATAGGTGGAGCCTAAAGAGGAAGGGGTGGAGTTTGTTAGATGAAGGGGTGGATTTTAAACAGGAAGGGCTGGGGGCAAATTAGATGTGTGAGGGGGGGGGGGGTTTTTTAGTCTTGCCTAGGGCAGCACAAAACCTAAATACACCACTGCAAAGAGGCCCCAACTAAGAATGATACTCTGCTGGACCTGGTAATCTCAAACCATGCAAAGCTTATTACGACTGTCCATATAAAAGAACATCTGGGTAGCAGTGACCATACATGATTTCATTTATTGTTAGCAGTAAACATCAAGCACATATGGGAAAAATAAAAACACTCAATTTTAAGAGAACTAATTTTCCAAGGCTGAGAGCTGCTCTCTAAGATTTAGACTGGGAGTAAATATTGGTATTGATGAACACAACACAGAAATAGGAGTTCTTCAAAAAGACTGTACGTGAACACACTGCAAATTGTATTCCCATGGGCAACAAGTTTAAAAGGCTAAAAATCAAACCTATGTGGCTTACGACCAAAGTTAAAAAAGCTATAAATAATAAGAAAAGAGCTTTTATTAAAATTAAATTTGAAGGAACACTATCATCATTTAAGCATTACAAAGAATATAACAGAGTATGCAAAAATTGAAAACGAACAGATTGCAAATGATAGCACCCCAAACCCCCAAAAAATTCTTCAAAATAAATTAATAGTAAAAAGGTTCGGTCCGAGCATGTAGGCCCTTCACAAAATAATCTAGAGTGGGTGACTGGGGACAGAGAGAAGGCAAATTTATTAAATACCTTCTTCAGCTCTGTGTATACAAAGGAGCATGGTATTGACACAGCTCCAGATGATCCACATTGGCTCACAATTGATATGATCCAAAAATATTTAGACAGAATAAAGGTGAATAAAGCACCTGGACCATGGCATACACCCAAGGGTCCTTAACCACCTCCTGCTCGCCATATAAGGAAAATGACAGGCGCAAGGCAGTTCTCTTGTTCTGGGAGGATGTCATATGACGTCCTCCCACTATAACCACGTGGGCGCGCAGCATGGCAATTGGTGGTGCGCTGTGTCCCTCGGACACAGCGGATCAACAGAAAGAGTCAAAGTTGGCTCGTTGTTCCTGTATCCATGTTTTACAGCTGATCGCATGTAAATAAGGAAATGCCGGTTATCAGCATTTCTCTCCTCACGAGCTGACAGCTCGAGAGGAGAGACGATATTCGACATCTACACTGATCATCAGGGACTGATGATCAGTGTAGCCCCAGCAGTGCCAGCTGTCAGTGCTCATCAATGCCACATATCAGTGCCCATCTGAGCTGCCTATCAGTACCATATATGAGTGCTACCTTTCAGTGCCCATCATCAGTGCAATGCCCATCTTACCAGTGCCTCCTCATCAGTGCCCATCACTGTAGCCTCATTAGTGCACATCAGTGAAGGAGAAAAAATCACTTATTTACAAAATTTTATTTAAAAAAACTAAGAAAAAACTTTTTTCTTTCAAAATTTTCAGTTGATTTTGGTTTGTTTAGCAAAAAATAAAAAACCGCAGAGGTGATTAAATACTACCAAAAGAAAGCTCTGTCTCAAAAAAATGATAAAAATGTCATATGGGTACAGTGTTACATGACCACGCAATTGTCGTTCAAAGTGTGACAATGCTGAAAGCTAAAAATTGACCTGGGCAAGAAGGGGGTATAAGTGCCCTGTAGGAAAGTGGTTAAAGAATTGAGCTCTGTCATTTCAAAGCCATTGTTTCTAATTTTTAGGGACTCTTTAATGTCTGGCATAGTACCACTGGATTGGCGTAAGGCAATGTGGTGCCAATATTTAACCACTTCCATACAGGGCACTTTTACCCCCTTCCTGCCCAGGCCAATTTTCAGCTGTTAGTGCTGTCGCACTTTTGACAATTGCACGGTCATCAACATTGTACCCATATGAAATTTTTATCATTTTTTTCCCACAAATAGAGCTTTCCTTTGGCGCTAATTAATCACCACTGGGTTTTTTATTTTTTGCACTATAAACTTTAGAAAAAAAATAAGGTTTTCTTTGTTTCTGTTATAAAATTTTGCAAATAAGTAATTTTTCTTCATAAATTTAGGCAACAATTTATACTGCTACATAACTTTGGTAAAAAAAAAAAAAAACCCAAATAAGTGTATATTATTTAGTCTGTATGAAAGTTATAGAGTCTACAAGCAATGGCACCAATCATTGCAAATTGATCATACCTGAAGCACTGATGGCCTATTTCATTTCTTGAGGCCCTAACATGCTAGGAAAGTACAAATAGCCCCCAAAAGACCCCTTTTTGGAAAATAAACAGTCCAAAGTATTTAGTAAAAGACATGGTGAGATTTTTGAAGTTGTAATTTTTTTCCCACAATTCTTTGGAAAATGAAATTATTATTTTTCACACATAATTGTCAAAATAACATTTCACACATAGACATACTTGCAATTGCACCCCAAAACACATTCTGCTACACCTCCTGAGTACGGGGATACCACATGTGTGAGACATTTCCACAACCTGGCAACATACAGAGACCCAATGTCCAAGTAGCACCTTCACACGTTGTAGGAGCATAGAAGGGGCATAAATTACACATCTAATTTCCTGACTATCACAGTTTTGAAGGCCCTGGAGCACCAGGACGATAGAAACACCCATAAAATGACTCCATTTTGGAAAGCAAACATCGCAAGGTATATTTTATCAGGCATAATGAGTCTTTTGAACATGGTATTTTCTTACAAAAGTTTTTAGAAAATGTGGAAAGAAAAATAAAAACTTTTTTTTTCACACAAGTTGTCAATTTATAAGATATTTCTAACACACGGCATGTACATACCAATAATTATGCCCCAAAATACATTCTGCTACTCCTTCTGAGTAAGGAGATACCACATGTGTGAGACTTTTCCACAGCTTGGCCACATACAGAGACCCAACATCCAAGTAGCACCTTCACAGGTTGTAGGAGCATAAATTACACATCTAATTTCCTAACTAGCTATCACAGTTTTGAAGGTCCCAGGCACCAGGACAATGCAAAAACAAACAAAATTACCACATTTTGGAAATAAAACACTCCAAAATATATTCTTTGAGGCATAATGAGTCTTTTGAACATGTCATTTTTTTCCACAAGTTTTTAGAAAATGTGGAAAGAAAATGAAAAAGCATTTTTTTTACACAAAGTTGTCAATTTATAGGATATAAATATACTATACTCTATACTTCTATACTTGAAAATACATTTTGCTACTACTCCTGAACATGACAATACCACATGTGAGACTTTTTCACAGCCTAGCTAAAGAAAGGATAAGCAAAAGATTACCTGTGGTTTTAGCAGAGTATTGGACCAGGAAACAGGCAACAGCCACAGGATTTGCCCAAGCAGCAGGCAGGAATATGGTGGATAAACAAAACCAGGGTCAGAATAGGCAGCAGGCTGAGAT